GGGCAGGGCATGCAGCAATCCTAATTGGCCGTGCCTGTCTCCCTGGCCTATGCAGACGCGGGGCTTCTGTTAATACCACTCCTGCTGTTAGAAGTTTGGGAAAGGGCAGGGCAACACGAGGTACGGGGACTCTTCAGGCAACCTTCAAACCTGCTGTAACCGGCTGCGGGGTACAGTTAATAACTCAGCAGAAGACTGTGGAGACCAAACTGAATAACAAACGTTTACTAACAAAGCTTACCTCCAGAGAAAGGGCTATATAAAAAACAACAACAAGGAAATACAGGCCCCAGGGTGGGGGTGGGGGCTATGTTCAAAATGGGGAGGGAGGAACTGTGTTGAGGTCAGAAATAATTTCCGCCGCCTCACCGCATGTATCCAACAGGAAAATCCCACCCTAGTCAAGCCTCCCCTTCTGGTAAATCACGTGTGATGCTTTGCCCACCACTCCTTTCTGCACGACATCTCCTGTCCCAGAAACAGTGTTTATTCTACCCGGTGAGGCCAGGGGAGGACCAGAAAGAGGAAAGTGGAGGCATGAACGTGAAGAGGCAAGGGGTTTGCCAGTTTGGTTATTGTTTGTGTTTAATGGTTGTTTTATGCCCACCCATGAAAAAACATTTATTGACTGTTGCTTTCATTGGTTCAGTGATCACCATTAACTGCCCTCTCATCTAAGGAATTTTGAAAGTGGAAGAGGCTTGAAGCTCAACCCTCGCCGTGGACTACCCGCCATTCGCCATGTCACGGGCTCCAGCTGTAGGGACACTCAGAGGCACGGAGGCTGTGAAGAACCGAGCTCTGCTCACTGGATAAAACAGCAGAAAAAGGAGTGTATTGCAAGGCTTTTGACCTGCAAGTTGGGAGACTCAGGGGTACGGGAGCAATGAGTTACAAGTTGCTCACAGATTAAGGGATTTTTATGGGATAAATAAGAAAGTAATTTGGCCTTTTCAGCTGATCGGTTGCCTAGTGGTCTTCTTTCTTATTTGGATCAGGGTAGCTGAGTCAGGGAAACAAGGAAGTCCAGAGATGGCGTGAACAGGCTTGGCATTTGAGGACTGGCTGGTGTCCTCTGATGGTTTCTGAGCATAGCTGTAAATTTCTGTAAGGTCAGGTTAAGTTTCCTTTATGAACTTCTGTTGACTATTTTGTCCTTGACATAAGTGACTCCATTTTAGTTTGGTTCAAGAAGGGTAGGATCTGGAAGCCCCATAAGAGGGTATAACCCCATCTCCCCACACAGATACCTCCTCATGCTACACTCTGAGGAGGGAAGTGCCTTCCCTGGAGCCAGCTGGAGACAACCTTGCATCAATGTTGTGGAAACTGGAAGTTACAGGCTTTGGTTTCTCAGGCAAACTTCATTTACTGACATGTAAATTTAAATTAGCTTTTCTTTTAAAAAATTTTTTATTGTTGACACTATTATAGATGTCCCTCTTCCCGCCCCCCCTTCTATTTGCCCACCTCCTAGATGAGCTTTAACAAAAAGCTTTGTGAAATCCAAAATGCTGGGCCAACCATTCTTTTTCTTGAGAAAGATAAGAGCAAGGAGGTTAATCAATATATAGTTAGGTCCAGGTATAACACAGATCCAGGTAGGCCAAAGGTATTTTAAGATTAAAGAGATTTAATTGTGCATCTTCCATTACCTTCATAATAAAATTCTGTCCTTGTTTATTGATAGTTAATGAGAAGCAACACAAATGCTGCAGGTTTGCCATGTAAACAAGCAAACCATGTTTAATAGAAGAAATTGTGTTTGTCCCCTTAAGTCATAAAATTTTAGCTCAGGAAATTGAATTTGCGCACTCGAGCTGTAAAATGAGCTCACTGGCTTTGACTTAATTTGATCCAGCACACTGCACGTGGTGCGGGTTCCCTGGCTTATACTTCTCAGGCTCCTAGGGGTCTAGTAAATAAACTGTCGTCCTAGCAGTTTAAAGCCAAACACATGAAAACTTACTCTTCCCTAACAAAATCATAAGTACTTTCAATTACATTTTATTTCAGTATTAGAGCAATCCAAAGGAAGAAAATCTGGCTTTTTCACAATTTCTGAATGTTCCTCTTCCTAGCATGTTGACAAAGTTTGGGTGTAACTAAATTGTTCAAAATAGATACATGTTTAATTTGTAAACTGAATTCTATTTCACGTTTTGTACAGGGGTACTTGTTATCTAGAAAAACACCCTTATATAAAACAATGTATTATATACCTAATTCTACAATTTTTCTGTTTTTAAGATTCTTACACATTGATTGTTGCTTTTAAATTGGGGTCTGTGTCAATATTATATTTCATCCTTTTCACCCTTTGCCTTGTATAACTAGACTCCAATGATGAGTGGCTACCATGTAAATAAGAACGCCTCCTTTCTTGGGGTAACATTTTATTGTTTGCACAGCCTGTCTCATTTGATCATCAGAATATCTCCTGTGGTGGGTTTCCCTCCCATTTTACAGATGAAAAAACTGAGGCTCTGAGAGGTTATGTGACTTGCTGGAGATAACCAGCAAGTTAAAAGATAATGTCAGTGTGCAAAGCCAGGTCTTCTATGCCAAATCACGTGTCCTTCCAGCAGGCATGATGTCATAACTGGGAACTGAACCTCTCCCCTCCATGGCGGCTGCATCTGCTGGTGCCGTCAATGCACGATGTTGAAGAGCTTTGAACTTCTGACTGCGTTTTTGTTATGACAGAGGCTTGTGCCCCCAGAGGCATGGCGAGGAAGTCACGTGTTAACGCTCTGATCTACATTTCTTGAAAACATTTTCTTCTTGCAGAGGGACACTTGGGCCATTACCTGGTTAACATTTGCCCAGTGCCACAGGAAATGCATTAGCTTGAAAGGAACATGATTATAGCAGTCACACTCAAAAACAGAAGGTGGGGCATTAATCATTAACAAGAGCACCCAAAACATACCAGGGAGAATTCTTATCGGAGCTGTTGGAACCGTCAGGACAGAATGAATGGAGCTCGTGAGCCATTTTGGGAGCATAAAAACACTGCTCCTGCCCTGAGCCTTCACAGCACCCCTACAAGAGCCCGAGGGAAAGAACAACCTGCTACGCACATTGTTACAATTCTCATACTTATTTAAATCTATCGAGCCATTCCAAAACCTATCAGGAGACAGACTCACGCTTGGTCAAGGCGCCAGCATTTATTTGCAATCCCATAAAGTCAAGGCTTACACTCTTGGGGTTCTGGTGAGAAGCAGGATGCAGGGCTGCCCTGAGTACTGATACAACCATTTGGTGGGGAGAAACAAGGTAATGCTCAAATCCCCATAGTGCGAGCCAGAATGGACCTCCCAGAAGATCTGGGCAACGCCCGGAAGAGAAGAAGCAATATCTGAAGAGCATATTGGAAGTGGAGGAGAAAATAGTAACATTTCCTGAGTACCTTCTATGTGCCAAGTGTTCAGGATGATCTAATGAATTTTTGTAGCAGAGCAAATCCATGAGCTGGGCTATTATGTCCCGTTCGCAGATCAGCAAACTGAGGCTAACTTACTCAGATTCACACTGGTGAGAGTTGAAGCCAGATTTATACCTGGGAGCCCCCAGCCCAAAAGAAGAAGAAAGAAAACCCATTCATACCTGGTTCCTGCTGTCCCTTCTGTCACCTCCCACATCCTTCTCTCTCCCGGGACATACCTCACCCCCTCATCTGTGCTACATGGTCCTGTCTCTGGAGAACTGGTGCTGAAAATCGAGTTCCTGGTTCTAAGAATGACATTAAGATGCCTCTCTAGCATTTATGACCCTCTTGTGTTTTCCATTTTCAAAACAGGCATAGTCCAGGGTATGACCTGAATGCCAAGCTCAGTGGTAATATCAGAATTTCTCTAGGAGAGGCTCTGGGGGCCATCTGGTTGGTGGAAGGTAGGAGGGACGAAGAGATTTTTCTTGAAACCTTTTATAAGAGTGCTGTGACTTCTCATGTAGCTAGGATCGATCACCAAAGAATTGACATAATAGCTAATAGGTAATTACTAAAAATATATACTTAACTCACAAATTAACTTAATAAAAATGTGTACTTAGTACATTAAAAAAAAGTGATCCAAGGTAAAGAGACGTGCAGGAGCTGCAGAGTTGTTGTGTGTTTTTTTTAATTTTTATTATTTTACATTTCTAACCATCCATCAATTATTCCATTAACAAGGCGGCACTGTGCGATGGTTGGATGTTGGCTCCGGAAGTCAGACCGCATGGGCTTCAACTCGGGCTCCATCATTTATTGAGTCATCTTGGGCAGGTTATTTCACATCCCTGTGCCTTAGTTTTCTATCTACAAAATGAAGACAATAACAGTATCTTTCTCGTACAGTTGTCGTAGTAAACACAACTCTCACAGTTCTTAGCACTCAATAAATTATAAACATTCTCAATAAATGTTACTTCATATTATTCCATATGTTACCATCAGCCTGAGGTTTTTCAACACATGTTTTATAGATTTTTTGCTCTTTATTAATTCTCGTTTGAAATGATGTTGGAAGCAATGAGTGTTGCAGATTATCAGACTAACAACACCCCTCCAAACCACCCTCTTCATACCTTGACCAACCTTAAATAGGTCTTCCTGAAAAAAGGTATCAGTAGCAAATAGCAAAGCATCGATAGTAGACTAAAAAAAATACATAAGATAATCGTTATTCTTCTAAGGCTCAGAAATTAAAATAAAATTAAAAATAGATGATAAGTGACAGTGTTGAACTTGAGGACAAAGCTGAGAAATAAACACTAAATCAACACAGACTTTAAATGTTTTAAAGAAAATATGTACCTTCTCAAATTTGTATGGGAGAAATTGACATGTGAAGGCAATTCAGACTTACTTTGGCTATAATTATACAATTCCATAGTATTATTTTTGCCATCAGTTGCTCTCCCAACATCCCCTTTTCTATTAAAATTACAAGAGACAAGCAGAAACATCTGAAGTGTTACAAGAGGGGCAATATTGCCCCCCAGCCAAAGTGCTCATGTGGAAGCTTCTCCCTGCAGCTCCGCGTTTACATAATTTTATTGGCGTAGAAGTACTGCAGGAGCTCTGGATGATAGTGGCTCTGAAAGAAATCAGCAAAGGTACAGGTGAGGCAGGAAGTTAACAAACCTCCTCAGCTACAGAACATAGACAGTTGTCCAATGCAGAGCATGATAACAAGTGGTCTGCACATCCTCAGAGTTGGAGGCATCATTGCCTGGGTCCATCAGGTGATGTGGAATGGAACTGCAAGTATATTTTGTTCAAAATCTCCCAGGTGTTCTGTCACTAACATTGCATTATGGGTCAATTACAATCAAAATATAATTGGTCTGCGTTCTTTATGGGGGGCACACTCCCTGGTGCCCCACCACCCTCTGCACTAATACCAGGACTGCAGTGAGCTCTGGGAGGACCCCTCTTACCCTGGCTCACTCACCAGCTGCCGGCAGAGCTTGGGGTTCCTTTGATCTTCCTCACTCTGGAAGCTGCGTTCCTTCCTTCGTCTCAGATAGGGAGAGCAGGCTCGAAACGTGGTTTTGCAAGCCTGAGAAAGATAATATTACCATCTTATTGAGGCAGGAGATAGTCAGGAAGGAGGAAACTCCAGAAGTGTCCCAGGAGATAAAGAACATGGATAAAGGGCGGAGACCCTGTCCTAAGTCTAGTAGTTTCTGCATCTGGAGAAGCATTGAATCCTAGTGAATCAGGACTGCCCCTGCACAGAAGATGCTACCTGACACCTACTCCATTATAATGAATTAGCACTGTGGGACCCTCTTCCCAGTAGCCAATCAAGGAAAGGAAGGCCCACCCTAAGGAATAAAAGTCCTCTAGCCCCTGAGTTCTTCCTTTTTTTTTTTTTTTTTTGCCCAGCTCCTGCTGCGGCGGCGGCGGCGGCGGCGGCGGCGGCGGCGGCAGCAGCAGCTGTTAGGCTCTTCTCCTTTCTTCTCTGCTCTCTCTACTCTGCTCAGCGTTGACCTGTTCCCATGTTCTGTGTGGCTTAATAAATCTGCTCTTCCTCGCTTTCTGCTATAAACTCTGTGTGTTCGGTTCAATTTTTTGTCTGTGATCACCAAGAACCTGGTTACCTGTGCCCACCTGTGACATTATTGTCAAAAATGTTAGAGAATTGTTTTTATTTTTTTCAATTCCAGTTTACATTCAATATTATTTTGTATTAGTTTCAGGTGTACAGCATAGTGGCTGGACAATCAGATACTTCACTAGAGAATTCTATAATCACCACCAAGGAAGAGGATTGCTCCCAGTCTGGAGTCTGGGGGCCACTGAGAGTGTGAAAGGGACTTCGGGAAGTTTGAAAACTGGAACCATATCTATAATTTGAGGCTGGTGGGAAGGTCATAGCTTTATAGTTTGCAGCAGCCTTTGTTATTGTCCCCTCTAAAGTGGTACTGGATTCCTAAATCTAACCTCCCTAATCTCTCTCCCCACCCCACCTTCTCCAGCTCCAGCCTCCAATTTAGAGAAGACAAGCGGTTTGGTGAAACCCTTCATTTCCAAACATTTTGAAACAGTTGACCAGTCCCACTCCAAAGCAGCCCTGAGGTTGATCCAACCCTGTTAGGACACATTTCCTCCGAGAATAAAATGAAAGCTCTGTAGGAAATTGAGTAGCCAGGAGTGGGAAATCTATTCTAGATGCAATGACAAAAGCTAACAGGCATGAATAAATATCCTCATTATGTGGACGGCTGCCCCTTGGCTTAAACCGGAGCCTCTCTGCCCTCCCCCTCCATCGTTCTGAACTCACCCAGCATTGACAGGTGCTGGGACTGGGCAGGTGGGGCAGGCGCAAGTGGGAAATAACAGTCTTGATGCGAGAGCGATCGCACAGTGAGGAGGCACTTCTTCCAGGATTTACACAGGTGTGCTGCTAAGTGTTTGTAACTGAACTGGCAGGAGCTGAGAGTCTCGCATCTCGACTCCACAGGGCTGCATGAAGCGCCCCTTATGAATGGCACAGAGGTTCCTTGCGGTTGGTTGGAGAGTCACGGACTTACCTTGGCAACCTGGGGATTTCTGTCCTGTAAGTGGATCAGGAGAGAATCCTGGGTCTGCTTAACTTGATAGGTGAAAAATTTCTTCCATTTCCGCCCAGCAAAGGCAGCCAATTGCCCAAACAAGACAAAGGCCGAGTATCTCAGGCTGTCATTCTCCTGCAGGTTCCCCGTGAACAAAACAATGAAACCCAGATCATTACAAAAAGGCAGCTGCATTGGAGAAAACCACTGCATGTTACAGGGTGTGCCCTCAGATCCAGCCTGAAGCACTTAGCCGGCTGGGGTGGGGGATGGGGTGGAAGAGGCTGGAATGTTTAATGAACCTCTTTGCCAGCAGAAAAGAGGATTTGACTTGGGAATCCCTAGTGCTACTTCCAGCTTCCCAGATTTTTTTCTTTACTACTTACTGTTTTAGAGCTAAAATACATTAATATGGTTCAAAATTCAAAATAACCAAAAAGGTATATTTTTAAAAGTAAATCTTTTTCCTACCCCTCTCAACCTGCCACAAAATTTCTCTCCCCCACAAAAAAATTGTATATTTTGTGTGTATCCCTCCAGAAAATCAAAAAGAAAAAGCACATATTACATAGTCCTTTGCCATGTTTTTATATAAGTAAAAGCATCCCATGCCACTGTTCTACACCTTGATTTTTCCACCAAATATGTCTGGTAGCTCTTTCTAAGTCAGTACATAAAGGATGTTTTTTTGCCTGCATCATAATTCATTTGACCTGTTCCCTGTCCGCGACTCCCAGTGTTTTCTCCAGGTCACCTGCCTTACCTTTCCTCTGAGTTCCTCCCATCAGTGGTAGACATAACCGTTATGATTATTCCCTGACACCCAGCCAACTCTCGCACTTTTAGTCTGACTGGCTGGTTTGTACCTGAGTTCATGTCAGTGGATTTGAGGCAGGAGATAGTCAGGAAGGAGGAAACTCCAGAGGTGCCCCAGGAGATAAAGAACATGGATAAAGGCCGGAGACCCTGTCCTAAGTCTAGTAGTTTCTGCATCTGGAGAAGCATTGAATCCTAGTGAATCAGGACTGCCCCTGCGCAGAAGATGCTACCTGACGCCTACTCCATTATAATGAATTAGCATTGTGGGACCCTCCTCCCAGTAGCCAATCAAGGAAAGGGAGGCCCACCCTAAGGAGTAAAAGTCCTCTAGCCCCTGAGCGAGGCCCTTTTTGCCCTGCTGCCGCCGCCACTGCTGCTATTAGGGTCTCCTTCATTCTCTGCTCCACTCTGCTCAGAGTTGGCCTGCTCCCCTGTTCTCTGTGGCTTAATAAATCTGCTTTTTCTCACTTTCTGCTATAAACTCTGTGTGTTTGGTTCAATTTTTTGTCCACGATCACCAAGAACCTGGTTACCTGTGCCCACCTGTGACAGATTCAGCCCTTTCTTCCTCTCCAAGGTGAGCTGTCTGGTCCGAAGTACATCCCTTCCCAGGTGAGGAAACTGAGGGCTGGGGTCACATCGTCAGGTGACAGAGAAGTCACCTGACTCTTGGTGCAGGGACTTTTATATCCGTGTTTTCTGGTCCTGTCCAGCCCCAGGTGAACCAGAGGGAACAGGGCTGGGAGGGGGGCTCCTTGGGCGAAAGGGGCGCCTAGGACTGAGGGTCACAGCGACTCGGTGAGACTGAAGGCCACTGATGATTTGGTGAAGCATTTAAAGAATTGTTTAGCCTGTGGGACGCATGCAGAAATGGCTTTCACGCTGCATTTTCTTCATGGCTGTGTGTGTGTATGTGTTACCGCAGCAAGCTCACAGGTTAGTGTAAAAGGAAGGTATCTCAGAGGCCTAATAGTTTCATCAGTGCCCTTTTTGCTTACTCTGTCTTGTCAGCTTGCAGAAGATATTTGCAAACAACAGCTCCAACAAGGGGTTGATATCCAAAATATATAAAGAACTCATACAACTCAACACCAGACAAACAATCCAATTAAAAAATGGGCAGAGGACCTGAACAGACGCTTCTCTCAAAAAGACATACAAATGGCCAACAGACGCATGAAAAGATGCTCAATTTCACTAGTCATTAGGGAAATGCAAATGAAAACTACAATGAGATATCATCTCACAACTGTTAGAATGACTATTATCCACAAGACAAGTAAGAAGTGTTAGAGAGGTTGTGGAGAAAAAGGAACCCTCATTCACTGCTGGTGGAAATGTAAACTGGTAAAGCCACTATGGAAAACAATATGGAGGTTTCTCAAAAATTAAGACTAGAGTTACCATATCACCCAGCAACACCTCTTCTGGGTATCTACCTGAAAAATTTGTAAACATTTATTTGCAAAGATATCTGCACCCCTATGTTCATTGCAGCATTGTTCACAGTGGCCAAGACATGGAAACAACAAAAGTGTCCTCTGATAGAGGATTGGATAAAGAAGATGTGGTCCACATATGCAATGGAATACTACTCAGCCGTAAGAAATGATGAAATACGCCACCTGCAATAACATGGATAAACCTTGAGAATGTTATGCTAAGCAAAATAAGTCAGTCAGAAAAAGCTAAGAACCATATGGTTTCAATAATATGTGGGATATAAAACTGAAACCCATAGACACAGACAACAGAGTGGTGGTTCCCAGAAGGAAGGAGGTTGGGGGAGTAGTAAAGGGTAAAAGGGGTCAAATATATGGTGATGGAAGATGGTTTGACTTTGGCCGGTCGGCACACAATGCGGTTTACAGACTGTGTATCGTAGAAATGTGCGCCTGAAACCTCTATCATCTTATTAAGCAATGTCACCCCAATACATTTAATTTTTTAAAAATATTTATTAATAAATAAGTGAATAGAGATCTTGTTCTCTGAGCAACATACCGCCCAGGGCTCACATTTCTAATCCCGCTCGGGTTTTCATAACCCGTGATTTTTCTGAGTTGCCTCACTTACGTCATCTAGTAGAGTCCTGGTCTGAAGAGTGATGTCTATGAAGAAGGAGCCCAGACTTTTCCCTTGGATCTTGCCCAGGATGATGGTCAGAGACTTCACACTCTCATGGACGACTTCAGAACTCATGGGATCATACAATCCATGCACCAGCAGGTCCAGGACAATTTTCTTATACTTACTCACCTGTTAACAAGGTTTTAAAAGCCTTAGTTGCACAGGAATTCCTCCCCATGGGTTGAAAAGCAACTCTGCTTCTAACTGTCCAATAACCTAGTACTTGGACTAAGAAATTATGGTTTTCTTCGGGATTTGCCACAACAACTCTCATCAGAATTCAAGTGCTTCCCTCAACCTGACCCAAGGGCCCAAAGCAGTCTTAGAAGGTGAGCAGAGAGTGATGTGGAAGTACGGACCGTGAGTGGGCGAGGAGGGCGGAGGCTACATCAAGGAGGGTGGTGGGCTGGATAACCTAGCTGTCTGAGGCCTCCTGGGGACAAGAGAAAATGGTCACTGAAATTGATAGATGCTAAGAAAGGAAGTGGGGGAAACATTTTTACTAAACAAGAATAAATTATTAGAAAATAAACTGAATTTACCAAAAAGGATGATGTCCAGCTGTGCGCTAGCCCTGCCGCCAACTCTGTCTCCCAAGGCCAATAAATGCTGAGGTGTGATGACCCTATGGTGACCCCAAATGAGTCATGTCCTTGTACACACTCCTTCCCCTGAGTTTGGGAGGAGCCACCGACTTGCCTCTAGCCTACTAAATACGACAACATTCATGGGATGTCATCCTCACGGTTACTTACATTACGTAAGATTCCTTCTTAGCAGAGAGGCAGAGGGACCCTCTCCTGCTGACCTTGAAGAAGTGAGCTACCATTCTGTGAGTGGGCAGCCTCGAGGAGCTAAGAGTGGCCCCCGGCTGGCAGCCAGACGGGAAACAAGGACCTTGGCCCTACAACTGGAAGGCACCAGATCCTTCTAACGGCCATATAAGCTAGAATGAGGACCTCAAGCTTCAGGAAGGCACGGAACCTGGCCCACACCTTGACGGCAGCCTTGCAGGACCCTGCACAGAGGGCCCGGCTATGCCAGACCTGGACTCCTGCCAGGTCTGGGGAGAGCTGTTACACGGCCATGATCACTAGTGCCTGAGGGACCAGAGCCCAGTCCAGGGGACTCCAGGCCACCTTCCCTGCCTACCTTGCTGGGTTTCTCGCGGGCCATGGTCCCCAGGCCTCTCATGGCCATGTGACGCTTTTTAGCGCTGGAGTCCCGGGCTCTTTCCATTAAGATGAAAAACACGTTCTTCAGAGGCTCCCGCTTCTGGAACCTCAGTTTCCAAGAAACCTGGGTGGGGAGTCAAGATGTATTGATTTGGAAGTGTTCAGAGCCATTCCCAGCCCCAAGCCCAACCCCTCCCTCTAGACAGAATCCTGGGTGGCCTGTTCAATTTTATACATTCTTTCTACACATCCTTTCTCTATCTAAAGATGCCTGATTTTTGACTGGGAATACAGGGTGAGGCAAAATCAGGTTTACAGGGGGTTTTTTGGAAAATAATACAATAATTAATAAATAGTAATACAAGAATAAAAACTCTGTGTTTTGCATACTCACAACCATAAACGAACTTCCCCCCCCATCCTGTACATTAGTTTGATCCACATAATTAATTTCCTAATTAAGATTAGGCAAAGAAGTGCAGAAAAATATGTAACTGGGCAACGCTGTGTGGCTGACACAGGAACCTGTACTTCAAGGACTAAACTCTAAGCGGCGGCAGGGCAAGAGCTGGGTGAGTTCTGCTCTGTGGTTATGAGCCCGGATGCCAGGGAGGCCCTAGGCTTCTGCACAACACAGAACATGGCCACGTGGGCCGGAGTCAGAGGCAGACGATGCAAGATGCAGGCAACGTCCCAGAAAAAACCAGGTCTTCACCATCCTTAGTCACAGGGTGCGGTGGGGAGCGGGAGACGGGATCGCCATCCCTGCGTGGTGTCTGGGTGATTACCAAGTCTCACCGTTATCTCTGAGTATTCATCGCAGTTCAAGCTATATTTTTATTATTAATTTCACAGCAAGCTAAATTCATCCCAACTCATCTTCTTGTGCTTCTATAAACACCCTGTTTGTGTTTAAAGAATGATTATCAAGCGTTTTTCAGAAAAAGGAACCTCAGTGGAGCCAGCTGAATGAATGCAGATCAGACAAGCACCCGAGTTACAAAGTGGCTGCTGGGGAGGGACATTCATTCATAGTATTTTGTGTCAGACCTTGGAAAAGAAAGATGTCATTGATGTCCTTTTCTTCTTGAGCTGGGCAGTGGGGATGGCAAGGGGCTGGCCCAGGATTCTTCTCTGCGCCTGATCCATGAAACTGAAAAACAAGACAAAACGTCGTATGAGCCACTCACGCTCTTCGAAGTCTCATCGACCTCCTTGTCAACAAGCCTCATCATGTAAAGCATTGCGACGGGGTAGAAATGTAAAGAAACAACCTCCCTGCAGCCTGTCCTTAGGAACCTGTTACCTTGGCGAGGAGATTAAATGGTCAGATAAAGAGCAATTCCAGGTAGCCCAGGAGGAATCTCAGTATAGGGTTCCGGACAGTGTGCCCCTGGTTTCTGGTCCATCCCACAGCATTCCTGTATCAAAATCCCCAGAAAAAAGGAAAAACACAAAACAAAACAAAACAAAACAAAAACAGATTCTGGGTCCCACCCAGAGAAAGTTAAAGTAAAAAAGTAGGCTGAAAAATTCTTTAAGGCTCCCCAAGAATATAAACTCGGTCTGCTTTTTAGAGCAGATTTTTATCTCTTACAATTTTAAAATGCACGTATCTTTCAACAACTCTTTAATACATTGACACATCATATACTCAAAGATATTCACAAAGGGGAGGCACCATAGCTTTGTCATGAACAACATAATGTCCTTTAACAGTTGTGCTATAAAGAAATTACACACATATACTACAACTATACAACTACAGATGGCTACTTTGCAGCCATTAAAAAAATGTCATGCAGTGTATGTGTGCTAAAGCGATCTCCATAGTGAAACAGTGGAGTGAAAAGGGCAACTCGGTGTGGAAGTGTGCTGCCATCCGTGTACACACAAAGTGAGGGAGGGAGTCAGTATGCACATGTTTGCTTGCATATGCATAGAACAGCAACAAATAGCCAAGAAACGTGAACAAAATTTGCCTCTGGGGTAGATATCTTAGCAACTGAAGCAGAAGGGAAGCTTACTTTTTTTACTACTGGAAGATAGATATATATATTTAAATATATATATGCATATATATCTATATATTTAGAGAGAGAGAGTGTGTCATTTTACCATGTGTATCTATTCTTTAAAACATGTATTGTAAATAAAAACAGCTCACAAAGTGACTTTGACCTTCAGCCTACTTGCAGGCTGGTATAAACCAGTGCTTCTCAGACTTTAATGGCACTCAAATCATCAGAGAGTCTCGTTAAAATGCAGATCTGGACTCAGTGGGTCTGGGGTGGGGCCACCGGATTCTGCCTTCCTGATAAGCTCCCAAGGGACACCGTGGCTGCTGGTCCCAGGACCACGCTTTGAGTGCTAGGGTGTAACGTTAAGAGCTACAAGAATCCAGAGAGGATGGTGGCTGCCACGGTGGGTGGAGACCTCCCGCGGCCAGTGGGTGAGCTTTCAGGAGAGGCAGAGTGTGTTTGCCTGTTGGGATTTCAGTGGGATTCTGTGAACAGGATTAAACTAGGAGAGTGGCAACAGATAAGGCTGCAGGAAGTAAAGACCAGCAGTGAAGGACTTTGACTGCTAGAGTTTAGTTTCAATTGTATTTTGTAGATAAGAGTAAACCACTCATTTTTTTAATTGAGGTAAAATCCACATAACATGCAATCAACTCTTTTAACAGTGTTGTGCAAGCACCACCTAAACTTTTCATGACCCCACAAGAAAATCCCATACCCATTAAGAAGTTACTCCTCATTCTGCCCTCTCTCCAGCCGCTGGTAACCATTAATCTGCTTTCAGGCTCTATGAATTTACCTGTTTTGGATGTTCTTTGTAAATGGAATCATTCAATATCATGACCTTTTGTGTCTGGCTTCTTTCTCTTTGTATACTGTTTTCGAGGTTCATCCATGTTGGAACATGTGTTGCTACTTCATGCCTTTTCATGTCTGGGTAATGTTCCACTACATGGATATATCACATTTTGTTTATCCATTTATCTGCTGACAGACACTTGGGTTGTTCTCCCGTTGCGGTTATTGTGAGTTGTGCTGCTATGAATACTATTGCACAAGGATTTGTTTGAGTGATCTACTTTCAGTTCTTTTGGGTACATACCTAGGAATGGAATTGCTGAATCAGATGGTAATTTCATGTTTATCTTTTTGAGGAACCACCAAACTGTTCTCCACAATGGCTGAACCATTTGACATTTACACCAGCAATGTGCAAGGATTCCAATTTCTCCACATCATCAACCATTATTATTTCCCAGGTTTATAAATTATTATTAATTATTATTGTACCCATCCTAGAGGGTATGAAGTGGTATGTCATTGTGGGCTGGTTTGCACTTCCTTAATGACTAATGGCATCTTTTTGTGTGCTTGTTTGTGGTTTGTGTATCTTTTTCAAAGGACTGTCTATTCAAATCTTTTGCCCATTTTTTAGTGGATTGCTCACCTTTTTGCTTTTGAGTTGTAGAGTTCTTTATATGTTCTGGATAGTAAACCCTTATTAGAGATATGATTTACAAATATTTTTCCCTCTGTAGGTTGGCTTTTTACATTCTTAATGTCTTTTGATACACAGTAATTTTTAATTTTGACAAAGTTTAATTTGTCTACTTTCAGTGTTGCTGTGCATGGTTTTAGTAGTATATCTAAGAATCCATTGTCAAGTCCAAGGTCATAAAGATTTATCCCGATGTTTTCTTCTAAGATTTTTTTTTATAGTGTTAGATATATTTAAATTGCTGACCCATTTTGAGTCAATTTTTGTATATGGTATGTAGTACTGATCTAACTTCATCAGAACCATTGACTTTTGTTTTGGTTCTAAAATATTTTTTTAGTAGGAGAAATGACAGGCAAGAAGCTGCAGTGGCTCTCAACCCTGACCACATTTGAACTGGGGAACTTTAAACTTCCTCATGCTCTGGCTGTACCTCAGACAAAACCTATCATCATCACTGGAGGGGGGCAGCAGCCGCAGTAATTCTGAAATCTCCCCATGTGACCCTAATGGGCAGTCACTGAACGAGAGTGACTAGTGACCAGTCACCTTGGTATGCCTGGGCCTGAGGGGTTTCCTGGGACTTGGGACTTCAGCGCTAAGACCTGGAAAGTCCTGGACACAGCAGGATAAGCTGGCCACCCTACTGATCATTCTTTTTTTTTTTTTCCACTCTTTATTTTTTCATTGTATTTTTTTCATTACCATTTATCTCCCTTATACACCCCCTTCCCTCCGCCATCACCGCACTGTTGTCCATCTCCATGAGTCTGATTATCCTTGAGTCTTGAGCTTATTTAAATGCAGGCAGCCGGTAGAACCCAGTCCTGTTGAACGGTCATGCTTGGGGACATGTGACCTGGAGGTGCATGGGGATTTGGTTTCTCTACCATCTCTGTCCCCCATGACTTTGATCACGCTTTCCTGGTCAGAGACACTGAGAGTTCCACGGGCATACCTCCCGTCCCGCAGTCCCTAGTGCTGTTCCTCCCTCCTCTCTGGCCAGCAGACCTCCTCTCACCACTGCGATGAGGGACCCAAATAAAACCCCAGAAAACGGCACCCCCACCAATGTGTCAGCTTTTTGTTCGCTTGTTTGAGTAAAGGCATTCCCATAAGCTCTCCATGCAGCCCGTGGTTCTCACATCTGAGTGTGCACCAAAATCACCTGGAGGAGTTGTGCAAACACAGATCCCCCAGTCCTGGATTCTGTACACCTGACGTTCGCATTTCTAACAAGCTCCCGGATGACTGATCCTGGGAGGCAGGGACTGTGCTTTGAGAACCACCGCATGAAGATGAAACCAGTGTTAGAGTGCCATTTCTCTCCAGAATCAAGGGATTAAAAATTTATACTGGGACAAAAAACAAAAACAATACAGAAATAACAACAACAAAAAAACCATGCTTGAGATTTCTTTCCAGGGGTTTGCTCCATGCAACCTTCTGTTTCAATAGAACCTGCCACCCCTCAGGCCGAATGCTACAGATCAGAGCTGACTGGAGCCTAACAATGAATATGGGGAGTTTAAAAGAAGCAGACCTGCCCTAGCCGGTGTGGCTCAGTGTACTGAGCATCAGACTACAAACCAAAAGGCCACTGGTTCAATTCCTGGTCAGGGCACATGCCTGGGTCGCAGGTCAGATCCCCAGTTGGAGGCTTGATGTTTCTCTCACACATCAACGATTATTTCCTTCTCTTTCTCCCTCCCTCCCCTCTCTCTAAAAATAAATAAATAAGAATCGTTAATTAAAAAATAAAAGAAGCAGAGCTCCCTCAGGCTGAGGACTGCTCACCATGGAGTACACAGTCCTTCTCACAAAGCAGCTGGCCTCTCTGCTCTGAGGCGTAAGAAAGTTAGACTTGAAGCTTGTCTCCCCTGGGATGATAGCAAACGTGGTTCCCTGTCCTTTATATTTGACTTCTCTTGCAGGATCAGCAGAGCCACGGAGGGCTGCAGCCATCCAAGGCAGCTTTCTCTGCTTCAGAAGCCAAGCATCCAGGGAGAAAGAGTCCTCTGCTTCAGCATGGCGGCCATCTCTCCAGACTCCTGGCAGCCAGCCGCCCAGGGCGTATGTGGGGACCAGCGTGGGGTCATGTGCCGGAGCTGTACTGCGAGCATGCTCCAAAGACCTGTAAGAACTTTGCTGAGCTGGCTCATTGAGATTACTACAATGGCACTAAATTCCACAGAATCATCAAAGACTTCACAATCCAGGCAGGTGACAAAACAGGGGCAGGCTGAGGTGGTACATCTATCTATGGCAAGCAATTTGAAGGTGAACTTCATCCAGACTTGACATTCACGGGGGCTGGAATTTTTGCAATGGCCAATGCAGGGCCAGATACCAACAGCAGCCAGTTCTTTGTGACCCTAGCTCCCACCCAGAGGCAAACACACCATTTTTGGCTGTGTGTGCCAGGGGATAGGAATGGTGACTTGAGTAGCAATGGGGGGAGCACACCCCCAGGACCGCCCTGTGGACAATGTGAACATCATCAAGGCAACAACCCTTCTGAGTAGTCTTGCTGCTGTCTTGGCAACACTAGGTCTTTTGAAATGGCCCAGCGAACCAGCTTCCAGATGACCTAGAATGACACAGAACTCTGAACTTCATTTCAGTCTTCCAAAT